AACCTTAATTTCCTCTTTGAAGGCCCCACCTCCAAATTGTTACATTCAGAGGTACTGGGGGTTGGAACTTCAACACAGGAATTGGAGGGGAGGGGCACAATTCGGCCCATCACAGGGAGTATCCATATGTTAGGCATGACTGGATCCAGGCACACAAACTGTGTCCACCAGAGTATTGCTCCATCTCCGGCTTTGCTGCTGCAGCGTTGACTTGGTTGGTCTCTGGATGTTCCCTCCACCTAGTGGGCAATGTGGCCCACAGCAGCCCCAAGTTCACAGCCTCCTATCTTGGAAACTAGCCAAAAGAAAACTTGTCTTTCTCTCTGGTGTATATATCCACCCCAGAGGTAACTCTGATGGTCCCTGCTTGAGTCTCAGGCCCATCCTGGACCAATGGCCATGTGCAGGTGGGCCAGGTACTTTGATGAGCTGGCTAGCCTGAGTCTGCATATCCTGCCTTGTGCGTTCCCATGGAAACCACAAGAAAAGCTCCTCCCCATAGTTCCTCCTCACTCCTCATGCTTCCTGACCAACTCTGGTGCTTCCCCATGTGGCCCTGCATGGTATGGCTGCCCCCTCTTCAGGGAAATTGGGGGTAACAAACTGTCTTTTCCATAGCGGTTGTCTCCTGATCTGTTGGCTTCACCATAGCCGCATACAAATAAGATCCCAGGTGCATGTTAAAACAGATCTGGAAGAGCCAGACTGAGCAAAGCAGGGGGACCCCTGGGCAGGTCCGCAGTTGCCAGGGCAATGGAGGAAGGCTCTGTAATCCACGAAATGCCCACACAACACAATGCTGCACAGCTGGGAAGATGCAAGAAGCTCTTCGTGGACTCGTATGCACAAATATACCAGAAATAGAAAAAGAAAGAAGAAAGGTACCAAAAAAGATTTTTCCTAAGGAAAACATTTCCTGTTCATACCGGGACACAAGAAGACTGGGAGAAAAGCAGAGGAAAGGCACAGTGATGAAGGGCCACCAGGCTGGAGGGCTGAGACTTTGTCCTGGGAGCCATGGGAAAGAAGATTTGTGGTCAAGGGAGGGACAGGGTCAGCTCTGGGGCAGGGGGCCAGGAAAGAGGCTGGGAAGAGGATCCAGGCCAAAGATATGTACCTGTACCCCCATTTGATGAAGGGAATGAAGGGCTGGTCACAGAACCTGCAAAAGCAGGGAAACTCAGTTTCTGACCTCCAGCCCCAGGGCTCTGCTTGGTAACAGGAAGCAGGGGTGGGGAACTGATCACAGCATTAACCACAAAGTTCATTGTCTTAGAATGAAGATGCTTAAGCAGTGGGCGAGGCGTCAGATCCCCAAGGAAGAAGAGGCCCTGATCTTTGAGAAACCAGAGCTGCCAGGGGAGCCAGAAACACCCAAGAAGACTGAAGCTGAAACTTCACCAGTCTCGGCTGGAGGTAAGACCCGGGGACTGTGGGAGCTCAGGCTGTCTACCGGTCAGGCTGCTGCAGCACCCGGGCCACCAGGGCCACTCTTGCAAAACAAAGGACTCCCAGGCACCCCTGGACCCTCCAACCCAGAGCCCCAGGGCTGGAACCCAGAGGGTGTATGCTTGGGGCAAGCTCTCCAGCTCATTCCGATGCATGATCCCAGCACAGAGAACCAGGGCTGGGCCTTAGCCTCTTTCCGGTTCTTCAAGCTGAGCTCCCCTTCCAGCAGCCCAGCCCGTCCCACAGAGGAGGCCACTTGGTGCAGGTAGCCATGGCTCTGCCAGGACAAGATAGCACAGACTAGGAAGAGAGAGTTATTACTCTGCTCAGGCTGCAGTTACAAAGTACCACGGACTGGGTAACCTAAACAACAGAAAGGCGTTTTGGTGTTTTTGTTTTTATTTTTTGTTTTTTTGTTTTTTCATGATTCTGGAAGCTAGAAGTCTGAGATCAAGGTGTTGGTGGGGCTGGTTCCTCCTGAGGCTTCTCCCCTTAGCTTGCAGATGGTGGCGTGGTCCTGAAAGTGTGTGTCTGTGTCCTAATCTCCTCTTGTTGTAAGGAAATCAATCCAACCGGATGAGGGCCCACCCTAATGACCTCATTTTACCTTAATTATCCCTCTAAAGGCCCTGTCTCTGGATACAGTCACATTCTGAGGTCCTGGCGTTAGGGCTCACCATATGAATTTGGAGCAGGAGGTGGGGTGGGGAGGGACGCAACTCAGCCCATAACAGAGGCTTCTGGGAGGTGGCTGGATCCCACCATTTGTGGGAGGCCTGGAGAGGGGAAGGGACTTGCCCAGGGCAGAGAAACATCAAGACCTGGTTCTCCCTCAGTCTAAGGTGAGAAAGGAGGCTCCAGGGTGGATGGTGACCAGCTTGTGGTTTGCAGACATGTCAGCGAGGACCTGCCACTGCCAGACACTCACCATTCACCAGGCAGACATCCCCTGAGGCTACACCCTGCTCCCTGCCCTCCGGAGCAGGTGTGAATACTGAGCACCAGGAGCACCAGGAAATGGACTATTGCTGTTGCACCGGCCATGGGGGGCATTGTGAACCAGAGTGACAGTGACTCTCCTACAGCCTCCAGGAAAACCATGGATCACATCCAGCCTCCGCATTCTACAGTGAGAGAGACTGAGACCCGTAGGAAGGAAGGGGCTGAAACATTAAAAAAAAAGGACTTCTGTCTTTGGGGACATTGGGGCTCCTGAGACCCCATCCTCCACACTCAGCTTTGCAAACAGAGAAACTGAGGCTCACAACGCCTCAGGCCACACAGCAAGATTGTGCCCTGCTCAGGACCTCTGAATCCTAGGTCCCTGGTCATCTTCTCCCGACCCTATAAGACTCTAGTGCAGGGGCTGTAAACTCAGAACTCCACAGGGCCAGGCAGGTAACAAAACGAGTGCAGGAGGCCTGGTGAGTCCATCCGGAGAGCAGGCACCCCACCTGACGGGGGCGCCCAGCTGCAGTGAACTCTGCTCTCATTTCCCCCCCACCCCTGCCTTTGCCCTGCTGCCCACCTCCCAGCAGGAACAGGTCTCTATTGCCAGATCTGACTTTTTTTTTTTAAAGGAGAATCCAGAGATTCAGGTTTCAGTGTGAAATCTCTGGACTCAAACATGTTAATAATTAAAGCCCTGTTGTTAAAAGCAGTGTGGATCCCAGAGAAGCCTCTCATTTGCAAATCTGATTAGAAGCACAAATAGGAAAGGGACACCCTCTCTCCAAACCCATGTCCTGCCAAAAAGAGGTGTCTTTATTCAGAATGCAAACCTCTTGCCAAGTGCAGATGGAATCCCCAGATCCTGGGCAGAGTCTGCTTGGGTGTGGAAGGGTAAGGAAGTTTCCCCGGTGGAGAAGGATGCTCCAGGTAACTCAGTGCCCCCTCCACAAAAAAGAAAAAAGAAAAACCCGGCCCTAGCAAAGCTTACATTCTGGAAGTCAGACGTGAAGGAGGGGCATGATTGAAAGTAAGTGAACACATGAAATAGGAAATAATAGAGACTAGGGAGAAAGCAAAACAGAGGTGTGACCAAGATACTGTCTTGGAAGTGAGGGTTCCTTTGCAGAGCCCAGTCAACAAAGGCTTGTTAAAGGGGAGACCTAAATACTAAGAAAGAAGCTGGTGCCAATCCAGCAAGAAGAACACTGCAGAAGAGAGGGCAGCCCTGGGGCTGGAGTAAGTTTGGCCTGTTCAAGGGAGAGAGAGAAAGATGGAGCAGCTGGAGCTGAGTGTCTGAGGCAGGGCTGTGCTCAGGGGCTGTTGATGGAAGGTGGTCGGGGTGGGGAGACCAGGGCTTTGGCTGCTGTAGTCAGAGCAGCCCTACAGGGGCAGATGGTGACAGCTCAGAGCAAGGTGGGGGGAGGGGTAGAGGACAGAGCTGAGATCTGTTTAAGAGGCAAAGCCAGCTCCTCTAGCAGACAGACTGAATGTGGGGGGGCGGGGGGAGTGGATTGAGCATGGATATGCTTTTGAGGTAAGACAGCGCCCATGGGGCGGCTTTAAAGGTTCCTGCCTCCAGCCTCCCCAGCCATGGAGCAGGCTCAGAGACTGTTCGCCTGCCTCTGAGGCCTGTGTGAGGGACAGGGACAGGGACACTTAACCTGGCGGGCCAGGAAGGACTGTGCCTAGTAAATGGATGCGTGGTGGGCCCAGGAGGAAAAAAGGAACCGCCGGTCGTCCAGGTGCTGGATGGGGTGTTTTGGAGGTGGTTCCACCTTGCAGGGGAGGACGCTGAGGTTCTGGGAAGAGAAGTGACTTGTCCAGGGTCACAGAGCCAAACCCGTGAAAGAATGGGGGCGGGAGGGGGAGGTGTTGCACCTAAGCCTTGAACTACCAGCTCCTCCCCACTCCCAGCCCCCAGATTGGGTACCCCCGTGCCTTCCCATTCCCTTGTCATACTGGGGCTGAGCAGTGGGTTGGAAGGAAGGAGAAAATTTCATCCCTAAAGTCAGTGTTATTCATGGAAGTAGATAAGCTGAACTCTGATCCACAGGAAAAGGAGGCCGCGGGGTGGGGGGGCCTGGACCCCTGGGTCGGAGGGGGAGGGACCGGGGTCCTGGACCCCTGGGTCTGAGAGGGGGAGGAACAGGAGCCTGGACCCCTGGGTCCGAGGGAGGACGACATTGGGACTGAAGCAGGAAGGAGGTGGGCTTCAGGAGAAGTGTCCCCGACCCAGGGTTGCGGGGATCGAGGGGGGCGGGCCCAGGACTCCGGGGGCGGGCGGGAGTAGGGCCGGGCCGCAGTAACAAAGGCCTCTCCCTCCTACAAGCAACCCCCCTCGGCCCCGCCTCCCCAGCCCCCCGCCTGCCCTGATTGGCCGGCCTTCCTGCCCGTCAGCGCCGCCCCCCTCCCTGGGTCTGCAGCAGCTCCGGCCGCCTCGTCGCGCCCCCCCAGCCCCTTCCCCCCGCCCCCGCCGCCCCCCCGGGCCGGTGCAGCCGCTGGCGGGGTCCCCCTCCCCCTCCCCCTCTCCCCCCAGGACCTGCGTGCCCCGGGACGGCCCCCCCTTCCCCCTCCCCCTTCGCGCCGCTGCCGCCGCCGCGATGCCCCCCCCTGCGCCCGGGGCCCGGCTCCGGCTCCTCGCCGCCGCCGCCCTGGCCGGCCTGGCCGTCATCAGCCGAGGTACCGCAGCGCCGGGGGCGGGGGCTCGGCCGGGACGCCGGGGTCCCTGGCGGGGACAGGGGACGGGAGGGGGGCTGCATCCGTGGACGGGGAAGGGGAGGCCCCCAGACGCGAGGTCTGGGCCCCGGAGCGGGGGCTGCATCCCCGGCCGGGCTCGGGGTCCTTGGACGAGTGGGTGCGTGCCCCGGGGCTGGTCCGCGCCCTGGGCTGGAGCCTGGGCCTGGAGGCGGAGGTCTGCTCCTCCCGGTCAACCAGGGAGAGGGTCGCGGACACCGGGCCCCGGCCTGAGGGCGGGAGTGTGCGGCTTCGGACAAGGAGGGGGGACGCGACGCTGAAGGAAGGGGCTCCGGGCAGGAGCTCTGAGCTGAGTTGGGGTGTAGGGGGAAAGGGATGCCCCCTCGAGGGTCGCCTCTCTGCGTGGAGATGGTCCCTGAGGGGGTCCTGGCCTGAGGGCCAGGGTGGGTGTTTGTGTGGGCAAAAGCGGAGGGATGGCGTCTTCCCCGGGTCAGTATAGGGAGGGGGCAGGGGTGTCCAGAGACCTCAGTCCCAGGGCCAGGAAAAGGGGGGCGGGGGCGGGGGTCTGGTGTCTCAGCTAGAAAGAGGCTGGAATTCCCCATCTGGGTCACACAGGTTGAGACAAAGTGTTGGTATTTGGGGAGTTGCAGTTATGTGGGGGAATGGGGATCCAGAAAGTTGGGGTGCTGAGCTACGGATTCAGATGTGGGGAGCTCTGGCTGAATGCCTGGGCTCCCTGGGGCTGGACTGGAGCTTGAGCACCGGGCAGATTGAGATGGAAGGAAAGGACTAACACAGGGTCAAAGGGTGAACAGCCTCCCAGTGGGGGAGGGGGCTGCGGGGTCGTCTACAGAGAAGGAAGGGGAGAATGGAAAGTGGGGGCCTCAGGGGGTGCACCGGGCAATCTCTGGATGGAGGATGTGTAGCTAGACCTTGTGTTTTCCCAGCGGGGGGGCTGCAGCACCGACGGTCCACGAGATGACCCCCTCGGGGGGGGAGGGGCAAGCAAGGACGCGGGAGACAGGGAAGAGTGTTAATTAAGTGCTTCTGGAGGATTCCCCCGGGCCCTGCCTCCAAACAAGGGTCACAGAGTCAGGGACACAGTCGGGGACAAGCGAGAGCCCCCGCCAGTCTGAGTGAGGCTGCTGTTGTTCTGCGCCTCCCGCCCACACACACCGGGTCCGGCACAGCCTCGTAGACACCGACACTGAGTCCAACTAGGAGCGCACCTGCAGCCGCCCACAGTCACCCCACCACTGCGGCTCCCCGCACGCAGGTCAGGGGTCAGCCAGTGCCCGCAGGACGCAGGCTGGGGCCCCAGGGGGTCCTGGACTTTGTCTCTTCCTGGTGCCCATGGTCTGAGCGCTCCTTCCCCTGAGCTGTCTGACTCACTGTCTGACTTTCTGACCACCCGCCTGTGTCTCGCTGTCTCTGTCACTTGTCTGTGTGTCTCTCTAGGCGTCTCAGCCACTTCCGGAGGCTCCCAGGCTCTGGGTGACATTCCCGGTGTCTGTCTCAGGGTCTCTGTCTCTCCACCCCTGCTGGTCTCAGCACAATTTCACATCTGTCCCTCCCTGCCTCTGGAGACGCTTCCTGTTGTCACACCACGTGTGTGTCTCTGTCCCTTCCTGGCTCTCTCATGCCGGCCTTGGTCCTCATTTACTTGTGGGAATTCATCAACACCTCTCATTGTTCTCCCTGTCCTTTCCTTGGCCCTAGCCTTCTCCCTTCACCTCCCCCTACACTCTCTCTCTCTCTTTATGCCCAAGGTAACTTCCCACTTTCCACTTTTCAGGACCCAAGACATCCTGCTGTGTGCACAGCCTGGGCTGGCAGCTTAGTAGAGCCGGGAGGTGGCCCATGACCTAGGCTGGGTGTTTCCCCATCTCTGGGCCTCAGTTCCCCACTTCTGAACGCTGCAGCCGGGGAGAGGGGCCTGGTGAGCTGGGACAGAAGCAGAAGTGAGAAAGGCAGTCAGTTGCACCTGCCTGCCTCCCTGCTGAGAAAAACCTGATGGGAGGAGGTACACAAAATTGGATCTTCCCTCTTCTGTTTTCAGAATTGCAGGAGGAATTCCTGAGGGTTACCAGTCCTGTATAGCACAGCGAACCTGATCCCCCTCCCCAACCTGCTCTCCGAGTACAGCCCCTCTCACTTAGACATAGTGAGGCCCCCAGAGTGCCAGATTGGGAAGGGGTTGGTTTGTGTGTTGATGCTTTTCCCAAGATAGAAACAAAATAAATCCATTTCTTTGCACTTGGCTTTTTTTCTACCTCTCTGGCATCCATAGATATCGTTCTATCTTTGATTTTTTTTTTTTTTTTTTTTTTGGCCTATGGGACAGTTCCTGAGTGCACTGGCTGGTGGTGAGGCCTTGCTGGATGGAGAGAGCAGGGCGGACCTAGGCATCGGACCCAGGGTCCATCCGTCTTGTCTGGACTGTGGTCCCTGCTCATCTATTCCCTCTGCACATATTACTGAGCACAGTGTCTATTCTGGGCACAGTGGGTCTGCTGCATATCACAGACAGATGACGTCATTGCCCTCGCAGAGCTGAGATCCCAGTGGGACAGAGAGAGAGAGCAAAAAACTGAAACAAAATCTAAAAACAAGCCAGCAAGTAAATAGGTAATTTCAGAGAGTGATGGGTAATGGGAAGAAAATTAGGGACAAGCTGGCTGTGTGGGCTCTCAGGTAGTCGAGGGAGCAGTGGAGAGTGCATGCAGTTCAGGCAGAAGGAAGTGGAGAGGTCCGCCTTCAGAAGACCCTGAGGGAACAGCAGAGGCAAAGGCCCTGGGGTTGGAACCAGTGGAAATTTCCAGTGCCCTTGGCACAGATGATTCAGACTCTGGGCATCAGTGATGCAAAGACCCCTGGCCTTCCAAAGTCAGTAATTTCTAGAAAGAGGGGTCAGGGGCTCTCCCATGGCAGCCAGGCCAGGACCCACCCCATGCACTGCTCTTCCCCTCCTAATGTGTCTCCCCACCCGCTCAGGCCAGCCACACTACTGCCTCTTACTCACACACATTCCTGGGCTTCCTGGTCCCCTTCTGTGGGTTTCAGGATGGTGGAACCCGAGCACCCCCCCATTGGAGGGTCCCAATTTTGCCTAAGTTCCTTCCAGGGGTGCCGGGAGATTTCTACTTCTCACTCAAGGTCACCCAGCTTGTTAGAAATCCCCCTCTCTCTCAAGAGAGGGGAACTCACCCCTCTTCAACCCTCATCCCTAGATTTATCAGACAGGTGTGAGGGCTGCTAGTTGGAACTGGCAGGGACCCATGGGACCCGTCCAGTCACCACTGACCCCGGACAGGCTGGCATCTGCCCCATAATCACCCCACCATGAGACTGTGGGCAGGTACTTAACCGCCAGGCCCTATACTGTTACTTGAATGACCTCCTTTCATCCTCCTTCCGCAACCTGAAGAAGGAGGCACGATGATGATCATTCCCATTTAGAGGTGGGGAAACTGAGTCTCAGGGAGGTGAAATAAGTCTGTGCAATGCAGAGGCAGAGTGGAGATTTGAACCTGGGCAGCCCACTCAGTCCATTCCTTTTGGCACCTGCTTATGCTAGCATCAGAGCAGACGCTGACAGGGCATCTGAAGGATCACCAACCTCAGGGGTGGGAGCTGGGCACAGAGCAACTTACAACCCAGACACACCCTGCCCTTCCCGAGCCCCACCCCACCCCCACCCCTGGGGAGACTGACCTCGAACCAGGGATAGCAAGAGATTCTTCCTATAAAAAGAAGGTGCTATTCTGAACAGCTAGCATTTATTGGGCCCTTTCTGCATGCTAAGCACTGAGCTAAACATTTTGCTAGCGTGTTCCTGTGGAATCCCCCACAAAAACCCTCAGAGGGAAGAATTCTTATTTTTCTCTCTTTTACACATCGGGGAGCTGAGATCCAGATTGTGCAGGGGTGGGGGAGTCACCCAGCCAGGAAATGATGGGGCAGACATTTCATTTCCCAGCTCAGGCTCCGCAGGGCTTTCTCATCCAGTCTATAGACATCGTCTGTTCCCTCTATGAACACTTCCCTGCTCAGAGCTAAACCCAGCTCCCGGGAACACAGCCAAGATTTGGGCCCTTGGGGAATTCTGGGGCAGGTAGGGACACTGTCACAGCTGAGTCAACATGTACCCATTAGAGAGAGTGGAACTGTGCACTCAAACAGTCAGGGAGAGTCCTCCTGGAGGAGGGGGCATTTGAGTTTGGGTCTTGAAGAATGAGTAGGAGTTCAAAGGCTTGAGAAGCATGTGAAAGGCATCCATTTATATTCATTCATTCAACAAATATTTCCCAAGGCCTTCCAGGGCCAAACCCTGGGCTGGAAAATGCTAGGGATGCAGACCTGAGTCAAACCCAGGCTCTGCCCTGGAGAAATTTGGGAATGCCCTCAGCCAGGCCCAGAGCTGGGCATGCTGGGAACGCAGATAATGGTCTGCCCCAGGCTCTGCTTTGGAGGAGCAGGTTCGGGAGGCAGTTGACCTTGATCTAAGGTGCCCTGGGCTGATAGACACAACCTCTCCCAGGAAAGGCCCCGCTCTATGAGGGCCCTGAAGAAGAAGTGTTTGATGAGAAACTATGAGTCAGAGGGATGGACAGTGCTGGGCCCACATGCGCCAAGGGAGATGAGGCAGGGGAGTGATATCAGAACCCCGGACACCGGGCATAGGGTCAGGGCACTTCTGTGTGTTGGAAAGATCCCTCTGGCAAGGGGTTTCTCTGTATCTCTGCCTGCTGGGACGTTTGGTTAGGGCCTTGGATATGGGTGTGGGGTCCACTCCTCACCCCACCGCCCTGGTCTGTGGGCCTAGTTCCCATGGCCGCTCCTGCCTGGGGGCAGGGCCTGAGCCCAGGAGCGCTGGGTTCCTGGATGCTTGTCCAGCACCTCGGACAGCTCCCTCCTCACCCCAGGCTGGGTCCCCTCCTTTCAGCTGAGGCCGCAGCTGTCACGGGTGGGAGGGGAGTTTGTTTGGCCCCCTAAGGGGCATTTAGCAATGACTGGAGGCATTTTTGGTTGTCACCCCGGTGCAGTGGGAGGAGCTGCTGGCCTCTGGAAGGTCAAGGCCAGAGGTGCTGCCGCACATTCTGCACAGCACCGGACGGCCCCTCCCTGAAGAAGGCTCCAGCCCCACACGCCAGAGGTGCCGAAGTGGAGGAGCCCTGGCCCAGGATCCGTGTCACCAGGAGTGTGACAGCTCCTGTGGGATGCCTGTGTGTGATATGATTGTAGGTGACAGCGTGACTGTGCGCCCCATTCTTGGCTCACAGCAGCCCCTTTGTATTTCAGAGGCTGTGATGGTGTCGCTGTGTCATTGCACAGGCTGTAGCTTCAGGCACGAAATCCCATAGTTGGGGTGGGGACAAGCCTGGCCCTTGGGCTGGAAAGGTTGTGTGTGTGTGTGTGTGTGTGTGTGTGTGTGTGTGTAGATGGCCCCCTGGGTAGGGCTGTGACGGTGTGCAGACTTTGCACCTGCATGTAGGAGGCTGTTGGTGTCAGTGTACAACTGTATTGTGCTGTACGTGGTGGGGTGACTCAGTGTGTGACGCTGCTTGGCCTGGGGCTGTCCCTTCTGCCTGACCATGACAACAGCAGTGCTCCTCAGAGAGACTTGTCTTTTCTAAGTGACCTTCTGCTGGGTGGGTGTTGTGGGCTGTGTTGTCACCCTGAGTGTGTGTGGGCCTGTTCCTATGAGCAGGGCCCATTGCCATGCATGTGACTGAGTGTGGAACTCTTTCCTGGCCTGGAGCTGGCTCTGTGTGTCCTTTCTGGACCCTGGTGGCTGTGCATGTGTGTCTGTCTCCTGGCTGTCCCCTGCTGTTACCATGGCTGTGAATGGCCCTGTCCACTCTGCACAGCTGGGAAGGACCAGCCCCCTCCCTGCATCCAGAAGTGACCGGGTAAGGCCAGGGTGAGGGGCTACCCACTGCACTGGCTCTGCCCCAGGCTGGTCCTGAGGGGCTGCTGATGGAGCGGGCCCTCGGGAGTCATTGGGGCAGCACGGGCAATTAATTCATCAGATTAATTAGCTCCTCAACCAGGGCAGGGCAGGGCCCTCCCTCCCTAGGCGTCCAAGGTCATTCAGCCTCCTCCTCTCCCCAGCCTAGAGCATCTCCATCCGGCCGCCTCGACTTGCTCAGCCCCCACTCCCTGGCTCCGGTCCAGCCCGCTGGCCACAGTCCACAGAGAGATGAATGGGTGGGGGTGGGGGCCCTGCCGGGCAATGGGGCCTTGGAGCTGCGCTGGAGTGTGCGGGCAGGCATGGATCTGTGCCCGCAAGAGAGTGCCCGGGTGAGCACAGGCCCACGCGTGCGTCTGTGTAGACACGTATGTCTGCCAAGGTCTGTGTGTGGCTGTGCACTGTACCTGAGGGTATGTTTGTGGTAGATGTGTGTCTGGGGGTGCACATGCATGAGTGTTGAATACATACAGCCAGCTCTGTGTGTGTGTCTTTCCGTGTATTCCTGAATTAGTGTGTGCACATGTGTGTGTCTGCATGTGTTGGCTACATATGTACAGGTTTCTTTGTTTATCTGTGTCTGAATGTGTGTGCCTATGTCTATCTGTGTATGTGTGTCTCCACATATGTTTGTTGTGTGTGTGCCTTTGGATATGTATCTATGCACTCTTGAACCTGTCTTCACCGTGCATCTGTGTATACATGTATGCATATACATGTATCTCTGTGTATGGGTATGTGTCTGTACACAGTACTTGCAGGTGTGTGTGAACATGCATGTTGGTGTGCGGGCATCTTTCACGCATGTGTGTCTGTGTGCTGTCATTGGGGTATGGGCTCAGTGTCTCTGGAGGTGTGTAGGTATGTGTGTCCCGGTCTGTCTCAGTGAGTGTGGGCTTGTGAGAGGACACATCCATGTTGTGTGTGTCTGCTGCCATGTGTGTTTCTGGGAACACAAATGAACATACATGTGGGTGGGTGTGGAGACCATCTGTCTGCAAGGACGTGTGTCGGTGTGCACTGTGCTGAGCCGGCCGTCCTATCCGCAGGGCTGCTGTCCCAGAGCCTGGAGTTCAGCTCCCCCGCCGACAACTACACAGTGTGCGAAGGCGACAATGCCACCCTCAGGTATGGGGCCTCGGAAGATCTCCCTGGGACTGCAGTCCTGTCCCCTACCGTCTCTAGGGAACAACCCTGGCCTGGGGCGAAGCCCAGCACCTCCCTGTCAGGAGAGGCCACTAGGGGCATGGACTCTGGGCCTCAGAGTCCCTGTTTGTCAAATGGGCAAAGGATCAGTAACAACCGTGTTGCTTTTGTGGGGGTTGAAGGGTCTGTACACATACCCTGAGCTGAGAGAGCACAGCACACTGTGGCTGCTTGTGAATGCAAGCCAGGGTTATCGTTTCCCCAGACCTCTGCCCACTCTGGATCTCTGTCCCCTCTCTCTGGTCTCTGTCCCCTCTCTCTGGTCTCTGTCCCCTCTCCCCTCTCTCTGGTCTCTGTCCTCTCTCTCTGGTCTCTGTCCCCTCTCTCTGGTCTTTGTCCCCTCTCTCTGGTCTCTGTCCCTTCTCTCTGGTCTCTGTCTCCCTCTCTCTGGGTCCCTGTCCCCCTCTCTGGGTCTGTGTACCTCATCTTTATGCATCTCTGTCCCAGACTGCCTGTCTTCCTCTTTTCAGATCCCTGGCACACAACAGTCTCCACCAGCTATCATCCCATGTGCACTTGAGCTCACAACTTTCCCTCTCTAGGGCTCAGTTTGCCCACCTGTAAAGTGGGCACAGTCACCCCTCAGGGCTGCAGTGGGATCTGGAAGTGTAGTGGCACATCCCCCACCCCTTCCCTAAGCCCTTGCAATGGGAGAGCCTGGAAAGCCAGACTGGGATGAAGGAGAGAAGGAAGAACCCTCCTCCCCTCATCCTTCCTGCAGCTGCTTCATCGATGAGCACGTGACCCGAGTGGCCTGGCTGAACCGCTCCAACATCCTGTATGCGGGCAATGACCGCTGGACCAGCGACCCGAGGGTGCGGCTGCTCATCAACACACCCGAGGAGTTCTCCATCCTCATCACCCAGGTGGGGCTGGGCGACGAGGGCCTCTACACCTGCTCCTTCCAGACCCCCCACCAGCCGTACACCACTCAGGTCTACCTCATCGTGCATGGTGAGCCCGAGGCCAGAGGGGCAGGGATGGGGGCAGAGGTGGTGAGCGAGGGCAAGTGGGGGAGGGGCACGGTCTCCAGGTACACCCACATGGGAGGCAGACACTGCCCCGCCCTTGCTGATCTCAGCTAAGAAAAGGAAGGGACAGTCACACAGGCAGTGACTCTTCAGCGTCGCAGCTTCAAAGTCAGGAGAGCTATGAAGGAAGGGGAAGGTGCGCTCACAGGAAGACCACATTCATTGGCTCAGCCCCATTTATTGAGCACCTACTATGTGCTGGCATTGCTCCAGGCACTGGGGATAGAGAAGACGCTGATAGAGCTGTCCCTACCTCTTTGGAGGTGACTTTCCAAGGAGAGGCAGGCTCCCAGACACAGTGTCTGAGCTGAGACCTTCAGCCGGGTGCAGAGCTGATGCCAGAGAAGGAACAGCACGTGCAGGGGCCCAGGGAGAAAATGAGTCAGGTGTACAGAGGAAGTCCTGCACAGCAGGATGCATCAGAATTCCTGTCGGGAGAGAGGGGGCTGGAGAGACCCACAGAGGGGGCAGGAGGAAGAGAGAGGGATGAGGCTGCCTCAAAAATGGGCTGGAGGGAAGGAGGGAACGCAGACACAGGGACAGCCCAGCGGGGCCAGGACAAGCCCAACTCAGGAGCCAGATGGCCTGGGTTCCAGCCTCCATGGCACCACCACCTGCTGAGGAGCCCTGAGCAGGGGAGGTGGGCTGAGATTCCCCATGTGCATCAGATCTAAGACATCCTCCATTGGGAGGGACCCCTTTATTGTATGCTCTGCTGGAAAAGAAAAAGAACCTGCTGATCAGACTCTGGCAGCCAGATTATAGGCATGGTCACGTGGGGTAAAAAACACCCACATGTCAGAGTGGATGAACATAGCCACCTCTACCCCAGAGGGCAGCAGTCAGAGTTTAATTAGTTAATTTTTGTACAACACTGAGAACAGGGTTTACCACACAGCAAGCACCATGTGCATACTTGTTAAATAAGTTAATTTTGAAATAATAATGACAAGTAAATAAAAATAGAGATGGGGAGAGAGAAATTCAGAACAGAAGACAGGAAAACCAAGTTAGGATGAAGGCAGAGAGAGAGACTGAGAAAGAGTGAGGAAGACCAAAGTTAGACAGGAAGCCAGACCTAGAGGCAAGGGAGAAACACAGAGAAAACTTACAGAAAGACAGGGAATGTCAACTGGACACCCAGGTCTGAGGGAGGAGGGGCTGGGGCCTGGACCCCTGGGTCTGAGGGGGGAGGGGCTGGGGTCCCAGACCCCTGGGTCCTGGGAGCCCATGTCCAGCCTCTCTCTGACCTCTCTCCCCTCCTCCACAGTCCCCGCCCGCATTGTGAACATCTCCTCGCCTGTAACAGTGAATGAGGGGGGCAACGTGAACCTGCTTTGCCTGGCTGTGGGGCGGCCGGAGCCCACGGTCACCTGGAGGCAGCTCCGAGGTGAGAACCTCACCCCTGGCCCAAGCCCCTTCTTCTCCATGGTATGGGACCCTCGTTTCCCCATATGCCTCCCTAGATTCCCAGCGTTCCCCTTCCCCCGTTCCTGATCCTTCTACTCCAGTAATAGCTCCATTTCCCCCTCCCACCCCAATCCCATTATTTCCCTGGCTGACTTCAGATCCTTACAGCCTTCACCACTTGGCATCCCAGGCCTCTAGATCATCCATTAGACCCCAGCCGTGCCCCCCCACCCTGTCCTTGCCCCCAGTATCCAGTGTCTTCCCCACCAGCCACAGGATTCTCCTGGACTCAGATCCGTGACCTGAGCCAGGGTACAGCCAGTGGCCCCGCCCACATTCCCACCTCCTGGTCACATACATCACTTACAGCTCTGCTGGAGGCTCCAGCCCAGCAGTTCTCAAAAGTGCAGTCTCCAAAATAGCAGCATGATCATCCCCTGGGAATTTGCCAGACATCACATTTCTGAGGCCGCCCCAGACCGGATGACTGGAAATCGCCCTCCCCACCACACCACCACCATCACCTCCTTTGAACAAGTCCTTTGGTGATTCAGATGGTCCAGCTGAGAATCACTGCTGTGTCTGGGGTACTACCCCCAAACATAGTGGGAAATGTGACTTCCTAGATCTCAACACCTCCCACTGTCCCCTTACCTGGATCTTTACCACCACTTCCCAGATCCCTAGATCCTCATTCACTGCATCTTCGGAGGCCAGTGGTGCCAATCACTGAATTCCTGAAACTCCAGGACCCAGTCACGAGGTCTCAGATCCCTGATTCTCCCCCAGTGGGTCATCTGAACCCCACAATCCTGGTCTGAGACCCTGGCTTCCCAGATGCCCTAAGAAGTCCCAAAGGGTCTTCTGAGCCCAAATCTGTCATAGACCCTACCTATCCAGATTATTGATCCCAACTACCAGATCCAGATTGTCTGAACCCCAAGAGCTAGATCCCAGAACTCAGAGCCTTCCCCCATTGGGTTTGTATTTCCTGGATCTTTCTGAGCCTTAAGATCCAGGGGTCCTCTCCATGGGGTCCTCTGAGCCCCATGATCTGAGTCATGGACTCCCAGATCCCTTGATCCCCTGTACCCCCAAATTCTAGGACCCTCCCCCCTGGGTTCTAGTTACTAAGCCCAGATCCTTACTCCCTGCCCCACCCCCAGAAGGAGATTCCAGCCCCCCTCCCCCAAAGCCCCTCCTATCTCCCCCGGCCGGGGCACTCCAGGCCCTGCGGTGTCCGCCCCGCTGATGTGTGTCCGTGTTGTGCCCGTGTTGTCCCGTGTTAAGTGTTTGTGTCCGGCCCCGCCCCCTCCCCTTCCCAACCTCCACAGACGGCTTCACCTCTGAGGGCGAGATCCTGGAGATTTCCGACATCCAGCGGGGCCAGGCTGGAGAATATGAATGCGTGACTCACAACGGGGTCAACTCAGCACCGGACAGTCGCCGCGTGCTGGTCACAGTCAACTGTGAGCCCTCTGGCAGTGGGCACAGAAGGGGGGCGGGCCCTGGGTCCCTGGGCAAAAAAGGGGTGCAGGAAGAGAGGGCAGGAGGTCTGGACTCCTGGGAAGGAGGGAGGAAGGGGGCTGGGGCAGGACCCCTTAGGCCTACCTGGCTGGGAGAATTCGCTGACTCTCGCTGTCACCAGACCCGCCGACCATCACGGACGTGACCAGCGCCCGCACGGCCCTGGGCCGGGCCGCCCTCCTGCGCTGTGAAGCCATGGCAGTGCCCCCGGCGGACTTCCAGTGGTACAAGGATGACAGACTGTGAGGACAGCACCTGCGGGTTGTGCGGGCTGTGGGAGGGTGGGGGAGGGGTGCGCGCACCGGAAGGTGGCACAGTCCTAGGTCCCGAGAATGGGGTGGTGTGGGGGGGAAGGGGTCCAACTTATAGATGATGGGGTCTGCGAGGGCCCCAGAGCGAGATTGTGGGTACTTACTGGAAGCTTGGGCCCACCATGATGAGTGTGGAGCTCCATCTCCCTGGGCTATTCAAGGGTCAGGGGTCGATGCTGAGCATCTGTCAGGGAAGCTTTAGGAGACCATTGGCACGGGGGTTCAGCAGGGCCTGGGAGCCCCTAGAGACTGGGGGCATACCCTGGAAAGTCCAGTGTCCCTGAGGGTCAGGGTGCCTGGAGAGGGGTGTCAGCGGGGGTGGCCCGGGATCCGTGGGGAGCTAGACCCTGAGTCTGGGTGTGTGTGTATTGGGAGGGGGGTCTCTGAGGAACTGGGGAGCCTGCAAGTCAATGGCCTGGGCTTGGAGCCCGAAGGGGTCGCGGCCCGGTCCCTGACCCGGATCCCCGGCAGGCTGAGCAGCGGCACGGCCGAGGGCCTGAAGGTGCAGACGGAGCGCACCCGCTCGATGCTACTCTTTGCCAACGTGAGCGCCCGGCATTACGGCAACTACACGTGTCGCGCTGCCAACCGGCTCGGAGCATCCAGCGCCTCCATGCGGCTCCTGCGTGCGTGCGAGCGCCTGTCGGCGGGAAGGGCGGGGCGGGGCGAGCGGGGCCTGGGCGGCGTGGGCGGGGCGATGAGAGTGGGCGGGGCCTGGTGGGTGGAGAGGCCAGGACTGCCCTCAGACTCACCCAGAACTTAGGAGAGAGGGGATGCTGGGACTCAAACAACAAGACTGAACGAAAAAACGATCCTTTCGATGGGTGTTGATTTACTCAGTGCCCACTAAGGGCTGGGCATTGGGCGCTGGGGACGCAGCAGTGCACGAGAGACAGGTCTAGGGATTTGCAAAACTTACGGCCTAGTATTAGCAGAAAAGCAATAAACAAGTAGACACAGAAATAAAATGAAAAGCAGATAGGTATCTACATAAGCAAGCAAAAAATAATAGGATTGGAGATAGATAAGCTCATCAGAGAAAGAGGGGGTGGGGTCCGTACCATTGGAACTGAGACCTGAGTGGCAAGAAGCAGCTAGCCCTGCCCAGGTTTGCGGGAAGAGCTCTGCAGGCAGAGGGAACAGCGAATGCAGAGGTTCGACCGGAGGCCCGCATGACCTGAGCAGAGTGGCCACAAGACTTGAGGTTGTAGAGGAAGGGAGAACCAGAGTCTCCTGGGCCATGATAAAGATTTTGGATTTTATTCTACTGCAGGGCGAGGCCACTGGAGGCTATTAAGTGGGGGAGTGACATGTAGTTGATGCTTCTCAAGAGAATCTCTCTGACTGCTATTGGAGGGATGAGCTGGGGTGGGGGTGTCACAAAATGGAGGCGAGAAGACCAGAGAGGAGGCTGGGGGCAGCACAAAGTGTCTACCAGGGAGATGTTTTGGAGGTGGAGGGGAAGAGGGAAGTGGAGACCAGGTGATTCCAAAGTTGGCTGGAACAGCTGGGTGGATGAGGATGTGGCACTGAAGTACTGACTGGAGAAATAGTGGGGGTGGGACAGGCCAGCAGCCAGTCTGGGAGACAAACGTGGAGAAGGCAGTTTTGGACATGCTGACTGGAAGATGCTTGGTGGCAGTGCTGGATGGAGGGAAACTGTAAGACAGAAAGACAATGAGAGCCCCAGGCTGATGAAAAAGCAGCAGAGATCTGAGAAAATCAGGGAAATAAGAGAGAGAGTCAAATGCTTCACAAAATGCTGAGACTCAAAAACCAGAAGAGCAGCCACACAGAGGGGAAGGCTCAGGACAGCCCTTGAGAAAGTAGCCCCATAGGAGACCCTCAGGGACCAGTGCAGACAGAGACAGGCACCTGGGAGAGACACACACAGGTCTCCTCCTCCCAGGCTTCATCCCGTGACCCTCTCTCTTTTTCCAGGCCCAGGATCCCTGGAGAACTCAGCCCCGAGGCCCCCGGGGCCCCTGACCCTCCTCTCTGCCCTGGGCTGGCTGTGGTGGAGGATGTAGGAAGACCCCAGTGCAGCTCGCCTCCCCCTGTGGGGGGGCCTGAGTCCGAGAGCAAGAGAAAAGGGGGGAGCAATCAGCATGGGTCTCCAAGGGGCGGAAGAGCTCTCGGCCACCAAGGAAGAAGAGCGGAGGAAGAAGAGGAAGAAGAGGAAGAAAGATCTTTAGAGAACCCATCACTGTGAGGGATAACGCAAAATTATGCATCTTTCTACAGCCATTCTCGCCACTGTTCACGTTTCCAATTGTGACCCACCCCCGCCACCCCCACCCCTCTCTTAGCTCAGGCTGTCAACTGGATCGCATGTGTGTAGTGGGTGTATGTGTGTGTGAGCCTGCATGTGTGTGTATGTGTGTTGGGGAGGGGGAGTGGGTGGACAGGGAAGAGGGCTTGAGGTCTTCCCTCCCCAACACCCCCACATCCACTGCCCCAACCCTGCTGCCTCTTTCCTGGGGCTGGAGGTAGGTATGGGGGCTTCGTGGTAGAAACTATGAGGGGAGGTTTTCCCAGGCCCCTATTTTACCAATATATGCACGCAGCACACTGCCTCCTGCCCTCCCTGCTGAAAAGGTGTTTCCTAGGCAGGTTGGGAGTGGGGAGGGGTGTTGCACTCACCTGTCAAGCTGTCATTCAGCCTTTGTGAGTCTGTGGGGGGATCGCCACCTGGACTCTGGGTCTCCCTGCTGTCTACCACCAACTGCCTGTCTGTAGCCAGAGGCCCCATCACTGGCTCAGCGGCCTGAGACCTTCCCACTTTTCCTGGCCCCTTCCCTTCCCTCCCCTGGACTTTCTGGCCCCCTCCTGGGCCAATCGGTGCTTCCATCCAACTGCCAGGCTGGTGTCTATGGTCACCTGTCTGTCTCAGTGCTTTGCCCTACCCAAGCCCCACTCCCTTTGGCCACCTGCAGCGCCAGCCAGCTGCCCTCAGCGTCCCTGCAGCCAGCCCATGCCTGTGGGTTTGCTGGTCTACTGCTCCCGGCCTCTCCACCAACTGTACCTCCCGAAGGCTGACCTGACCACGAGCACGAGCGCACGTGCACACACACACATGCACACACACACACCAGCGACTGACCAGCAATAGCCCCCTGGCTGCAGCTGACCAGCTGTCATTCCCCCAAAGGGTGGGCAACTGTTGTCAGGACAGGGCGCTGAGAGGTGGTAGCCTCTCTGATTGTAGGAATACCCCACCCTGGCACACCACATCACACAAAGTGCGGGGGAGAGGCCTCACACAAACATCCTGAGCCCAGACCAAGATGCCAAGTCACCAGCTCCGAATCCCGGGAGACCCTCTGAAAACACTCACCCCAAACCACACCACCCAGTGCTTGCAGGGGGAAGAGGGCAGAGCAAGGGCAAAGGGCAGTGACTGTACCTCAGACAGGGGCGTGGGCCCCATCCCACATTGTCTTCCATTCCCAGGGTCCTGGGGGATGGGGAGGGGAGGGAGACAAGGGAGGGGGTTGGGAGACCCTGGGGGCCGTGTGTTCCAATTCATGGGGAGTGTTGAGACCACCACACCAATAAACGCCTTTTTCCAAAGTCTCCGCCTCCAGGTGCCAATATCATTAAGGACTTGGGTGCACAGAGGGCAAGGGTTATGGTTATTAGTGGAGTCTCCCCAGGGTCATTCCCACTGCCTCCTTTCTCTTTGGTAGATCTGGCATTTATCAGGCTGCCCCTAATTGGCTCAAGCCACTGGACGTACACCATTTCCCACTGACTGGTCCAGAACTAATGAGAGTGAATACCATGGATTCACAAGAAGAAATGGCCTCCCACTGAATAATGTGACTCAGTGAAGCAAGGTCTAGACCTTTGTGGTTGCTTTTCCCTATCATGTTGGAGACTGGGAATGATGGAAAGAAACACTGGGAGGCAAGAGTGGAAGGTCTAGAGAAACTGACATTGAAGCTACTGGATCAAAACTTACCTGATGCCCGCCTTCACTTACACAAGCAAAGTCCCCTGATGTTTAAGCCAGTTTGTATTAGGTTTTATGTCTCTGGTGATCAAAAAGGAAATGAAAACTCTAACTGATAGGAAAGATATATAGAGGGTTCAGGTAACCAGGACTCCCACCTCCCAACTCTTCAAAATGATCTAAGAGCTATGTCTCCCAAAGGCCTCCTGCATCCCAATCTTTAACCAAAAGACCTCTCATCCTTTCCTTCCCTGAGACAGATGCTGTTTGTCTTTGCTTTAGTTATTTGTTTCTTTCTTTGCTGTCAGGCCCACCTCCCATGATATAGCCTGAGATGTTTGGTTTCCCAGGTTCCCTTGCAGTAAGTGATATAGCCAGTTTGGGGTCAATGAGGCAAGGGAAATTTTCTGGTAGGCTTCCGGGAAGTTTTTTTCCCACTCATGAGGTTGCTCAAGGTGAGGTGTGTGAGAAGAGAACCCTGTTCTCCTCTTTCCACCTTCAGATACAGTTGTGTGAAGATGTGATGTCTGGAGATACAGCAGCCATCTTGCTACATGAGACATGCCAGCCCATTGAGGATGGCAGAGCGGAAGGATGCAATAAGGCCAGATCCTTGATGGGGTCACTAAGTTGCTGCATCAGCCTGAAACCACCCACTTCTGTGTTTCTTTCCACCATTTATTTTGTTAATTTGCAGCCAATTAACAAATCTTCATGGTGCACCCCCTACATTTCTCATGAGAATCCGTTTAAAAAAAAAAAAAAAAGGACATCATTCTGCAGAGAGCAGGGGGGGGCAAAACCAGCCCTTCATTGGCACCAAAATGTTTGATCAGTTAACCTATATTAATTTCCTGCTGTGTGCTAGGTAGGCTCTGTGTTAATTTCGGGGAATAATGACATGGTCTCTGCCTTCAGGAAGCTCTCAATTTTGAGAGGGAGTCAGTAGCTAAACAAGCAATTATTTACTTACAGATGAGAAGCAGAGGGCTCAGGGTCTCTAGGATCTAACCCATGACTAAGGCAGGGTTTAAAGAAGCATCTTCTTTTTATTTATTTTTAGAGAGAGGAGAAGGGAGGGAGAAAGTGAGGGAGAGAAACATCATTGATCAGTTGCCTCTTGCACACCCACGTCCCCAACTGGGGACCTGGCCCACAACCCAGGCATGTGCCATGACAGAGAATCGAACCAGTGACCTTCCTGTTTGCAGGCTGGTGCTCAATCCACTGTGCTACACCAGCCAGGGCTAAAGAAACATCATCTGAGATGGTAATGGTCACCTTTCCACTTGAGAAATGAACAGCACAGGAGACAGCCATGCTCCAGACAGAGCAAACTCTAGGGGCAAAGACCTGAAGGCAAAATAAAGTGGCAGTGGGAAAGCCTGTGCTCCTGGAGTGGTGGGGACAAATGTTGGAAGGGGAGGTCAGACAGGCCAATGGAGACCAACCCACAAGGCTGTGATGAAGAGTCTGGGTATCTGGAGGGCAATGGGCAGCCATAGAAGGGTTTCAGAGAAGAGGGGTGTGTGCTCTGATCTATTTTAAAATGAAGACTCTGGAAGCTGGGTAGGTATGACCTGGAGGAGGCAATTTGGACATAGGAAAACTTTTCCAGAAACAAGGCAGGTCCTGGGTCCAACTCAGAGCAGCAGCTCAACAAGCCTGCTTGTTTGTTGCACAGTCTGTGCATCTTGTCTGGTTGGTGGTTTGCAAACCACACTGGTTGTTGTTTGTTTGTTTATTTGTTTATATTTTTAGACAGAGGGGAAGGGAGGGAGAAAGAGAGGCAGAGAAACGTCAATGTGTGGTTGCTTCTAGCATGCTCCCTACTGGAGACCTGGCCCGAAACCCAGGCATGTGCCCTGCCTGGGAATCGAACCAGCGACCCTTTGGTTCACAAGCCAGTGCTCAATCTACTGAGCCACAGCAGCCAGAGCTGCAAACCACACTGTTAGATCAGCAGGAGTCTCCTTCAGCCTAAGAGTCCCACCTCCTTAGTTGCACAAATACAGGTAGAGTCTTCGGAGGCAAGAGAGGGCAACAGAAAGTCCCACTTTCCGAGTCTGACCTTCAGTCACAGTAGGACAGGAAGGCCCTGCCTGCTGCTGAGTAAGAACAAGAAGTCCTGTGCAAAAAGTCCTGTGCAAAACAGGCCATCAGCCCAAGTCACACCTGTGTGGCTGCTCGAACAGTCTTCCAGCCCCCAACTGGAGAGATGACTGGATTGGGGCCAGTGACCTGGAAGAGAGAGGAGAGGTGAGGGACAACCTCAGGGGTTATGCTGGATCGGACATGACTCACCCATTTCTACAGCACTAGCTCTCATTACTAAGAAATTAGCTGGGTTTCCTCTATTTGCAAGGAATAAAAAAAATGTCCCTCCACCCTTAATGAGAGATAAGATATACAACAACCCACCTTTACCAGGAAAAAGAAATTCCATCCCTCATTGGAGAGAGAATGGAAGTTTTTTCCATTTTTATGGAAAAGACAAATAAAGGAGGTTCCATCTTACTCCTTCTGGGGGGAAAAGCTAGAATGTTACTCTTCTTCTAAAATACCTAAGTGTTGGATGGGAAGCCCCGTCCAACTTTTGTATATTTTTTAAAAAGGATAAAATTTTACCAGGCTTGTAAACCAACAAGTAAAGCTGGAGGAAGAGAATGCAGACCATCTCACCTCCCTGACTAAATAACATAAAAAGTCCACACTCTCTTGGAGGTTACTGGGCCACCCACACTCACTTGGTGGGCCCTGGTTGGACTGGACTCCTCCAGTGGGACTTTGAGGGGCAGAGGCTGTGGAGTCTTCACTGAAGCCACACTCTGCATCTTCTTCTCTGGTGGGGGGACCACAGGGATAAAGTGAGGTGGAGGCTTCTTTTTCATGGGAGTCTCTCCTGGGAGAGAGGACGAAAAGAAACAGAAATGTGAGTGGCTGCTCCAACATGCCTATCCAGCCAATGGCAAAGGAAGCTGGGCCGAGAGGTGGAGCCTTCAAGCTGATTGGCTGATATGAAGGGAGAAAGGCTGGAACATGTGACCTGTAACCACATTGATTGGTTCAGCCTGGCTTCCAATGGGGTTTTATCTAGGGACCCTTCCAGATGACCCTTTGTTTACCCCGAAAACGACGCAGGCCGCAGATGCACAGGACTATAAGTGCTGCCAGGAGTGCGAGGCCCAGTAGAGAGCCCAAGATGATGCCAGCAATGGCCCCAGGGCCCAGGGTGCTGCCTGGAGAAGATAAAGAAGAGGCTAAGGTGAGTGAGAGCCAGAGTTGGACCAGTTTTCTAAGTCCCCTGTTCCAACCCACTCAGAACCCAAGAATCTGGGACCCAGCACCCTGAATTTATTTAACGTTTACTGAGTGACTATCATGTGCCCAGCACTCTACCAGGTGATGAGGATCCATTCATTGGTGAGCAAACCAAGATACCTACTCTCATGGGGGTTAATTTTAGGTGGAAAATGAGAAAGGAATGTACAAATAAATAACATAATTACAGATTTCACTAAAAGAAAAAATAAATGTGCTACAATAGAAATAATGGGAGAGGAGATGATATTTAGAAAGGATCGTGAGGGGTGGTCCCTGAGGAAGTAACATTTGAACAGAGACCTGGAGAGTATGGAGCCAGGTGCGCTAAATGGGGGAAAGGTGTTCAAGAAGAGTGAACAGAAAATGCAAAGGCTCAGAGAGGTACAATAGAGTTTTTTTGTGTGTGTGTTTAGTGAAGGCCAGTGTGGGTGGGGAATATGGCATGAGAGGGGAAGAGGTAGATAATGATGTCAGAGGAGTTAGCAGGTGCCAGAGCCTTGGAATCTTGAAGGACTTTATGAAATGCTTTTAAGGAGGTCACAGCAGCAACATGATGTGATTTCGATGACTCTGGCTTCTGGGTGGTGAAGAATGCATTGTAGGAGGGCAAGAGAGTAGTACATAAGGAGACCAGACAGATAAATAGCTGTTGCAATCCAAGCAAAAGGATGGTGGCCTCTGACCAGGAGGTTGGAATGGAGACGGAAAGAAATGGGTAGATTCCAAAAGCATTTTGGAAGGAAAGTTGATGTGACCTGCTAGCATTTGGGGATGTTGGAGGTGACTTGAGCATGTGGGTGGTGCCACTGGAAGCTGGGGTGTGAGAAGGCAGGTGGAATGCAGTTTTGGGGAAAAACAGAAGGAAAATCTTTTTGGATATGTGGAGTCTGAGATGTCAACTGGGCATTCAAAGTGAAGGTGTCAGATAGGGAGGTGACTTCTCAAATGTGAAATTCAAAAGAAAGGCCTGGGCTCAGGATCAGACAGGTGGGAGTCCTCTGAGTAATAATGATATTCAGGTCAATGGAGCGTGTACAGGGTAACACTGGGGAGAAGCACAGGTCGAGAAGTGGTCTCTCCACTGAGCTCTGAGACACCCAACACTTAGAATTTGGGAACTGTTCTCAGTTGAATTGTGTCTCTCCCATGAGAGATATATTGGCCCTGGCTGGTGTGGCTCAGTGGATTGAGTGCTGGCCTGTGAACCAAAAGGTCGCCAGTTCGATTCCCAGTCAGGGCACATGCGGGGGTTGCAGGCCAGGTCCCCACTGGGAGGTGCTTGAGAGGCAGCCATGCACTGATGCTTCTCTCCTTTCCCCTCTCTAAAAATAAATAAAATCTTTTACAAACTATTTAGTAAAAAAAAAGAAAGAAAAAAAGGAAGATATATTGACATCTTAACCATCGGTACCTGTGAATGAGATTTCATTTGGAAATAAAGTCTTTGCATATCATTTTGACTTGACCACACCTGCTCTTTTTCTAGATAAGACCACATTCACAGGTACTGAGGACTAGGAGGTCAGTATATCTTTTCTAGGGAAGACGTGATTCAACCAATCAAGATGAGATCATTAGGGTACATTCTATTCCAGTATGACTAGTGTCCTTACAAAAAGAAGACAGAGACACACACAGGGAGGAGGCGGCTTTGGGAAGCTGGAGGCAGAGATTGGTCTGATATGGCTGCAAGCTAAGGAACACCAAGGATGGACAACACCACCAGAAGCTGGAGAAAGCAAATCAGCTTCTACCCAGAGACTCAGAGGGAGCATGACCCCACTGACATCTCTGTTTTGGACTTCTGGCCTCCAGAGCTGTGTGAGAATACATTTCTGTGGTGTCAAGCCACCCATGGTCCTTTGTTACGGCAGCCCCAAGAAACTAATCCAGGGAGAAGGAGGATCCAATAAAACAGACTGATGGAGGCAGCCCAGGAGAAGGGTCCGACAGCCCCCAACTCACCAACTCTGTAGATCCGGCTTTGTGATGGCATTCCTGGTCGCCCCCCCAGGATGGGCATGATACGCAAGGCCCAGGTCCCAGGGTTCTGAGGAGGCAGGGGCACCACGGCTGACCGTTCCTGAGGCCCCAGGATGAGCAAGGAGACCCAGCCCTGGTAGAGGATGGCTCTGCTCACATCAGGCCCCTCTAACCGCGCCTGAATCTCAAAACCACTGACCACAGCCCCACGCTCCACATCCCAAGTCAGCACCGCTGTGTCCTGGGCTCTCTGCAGCCTCCATGAGGAAATGGAGGGCCCTGGAAGGATCAAGGTGGGGGGATGAGATTTGTGAGTCCTAGAGGGGAAAGGGAAGGGGGCTGCAGACCTGGATTCATAGATCCCAGGGGGAAAGGATCTAAAGACTCAGATTCTGAGCCAATAAGGAGGAGGGGCTGGGGTCCTGGCATCTTGGATCTGAGGGAGGAGGGGCTGGAGTCTGGACTCCTGGTTCTGAGGGAGGAGGGCCTGGGGGACCTGGACTTCTGGGTTCTGGGAAAGGACAGAACTCACCAATGAGGGTGATCTGGTCGCCCGCAGCACCCAGCACCCCACTGCACAACACAGAGTAATTTCCTAGGTCCTGATCCAGGCTGAAGTTGCCAATGAGGAGCCTCTGCCCGTCTTGGCTGAGTCTCAGGCGTCCCCCACTTCCAGAGACCAAGGGTCGCCCTTCCCTGGCCCAGGATGCTTGTGAAGGTGGCAGACAGCCAGAGGCCTCCAGCACCACCTCTGCCTCCCCTGACCGTGTCTTCTCCACCATCGGATGCAGCAGCACCTCTCGAGGGGCCTCTGCAGGTGCAAGAAACACAGTCAAGTCCTTGCCCTAAAGTCAAAGAACAAGTCCTGTGCCCTTTGGTGAGTCAGGCAGCCATGAAACTTCAGCGCCTTAGCTGAGTGAGGAAGCAGCATCCATTCCTTCTCTCCCTCATTCATTCATCAGCTGACTTCCTTAACCAGGACTTATTAAGTACATATTATAGGCCAGGTCCTAGGCTGGGAAACTCATGGTGCTCTCAACCATTTATTGCTCTGAACACGTGGGAAGGTGTCAGCCCTCCTCCTGGATCCAGGAAAGAAATTTTTTGTCCCTGTACCTGGTTGAAGGTATAGGGGAAACCTGGGTCCTTGTGTAGCGTTACAGACAAAGGAAATCCTTTTCTTTGGAGTTAAGAAGTCCTCTTTTCTCATTTAGTCCTAAAGGAGCTAAGAAATACACTCAGCTCTTACCCGGGGTGACAGTGCAGGTGCGGGTGGCCACCAAGTGGCGAGCAAGGCAGGTGACTGGGACGCCGCTAAGCCGAGGGTGGGCGGGGACAACTGCCAGGAGTGCAGAGGACATTGGTCCCGCGCGGACACCCTCGGGGAGACCCTGGAACTGTAGGGAAGCAGCAGGAACCCCACCGGGCCACCAGCAGCGGAAGCGAAGGCTGCGGTCCCCGGGACCCCCTTCAACCGAGCACTGTGGGGACCCGGGGGGCAGATCTGTGGAGTGCAAGGAGAGATCGGGGAGTCAGCCTCTTTCCCTTCTCCCCTTTGATCCCCAACTCCTCGCGAATTCACTCCGCTGGGTTTTCACGGAGCCCCGCCCCGTAGATACTGAGCTTGCCTCTCCATTGTGGCCCCAGCCCTTCTCCCAGTATCCCCGCCCCTTTTACCGGGAACCTCCGTCCTTCCTTGCCAGCCCCTGCCCCCTCCCGTGAATCCCGGCCTCTGGCTATTTCCTCCGCTTCTCCTGAGCTTTCCCACCCCTTTTACCGGGAATCTCTCCTTCCGCGACGGTCCCACCCGTCCGCAAAGGCCCCACCACTCCCCAGTGGCCCCGCCCTCTTCTCCAGTACCCCAGCCCCTCGCTGGTTCCGCCCATTCTGGGAAACCCCGCCCGTCCGCGTTGACTCCGCCTTTTCTTGCTGGCCCCGCCCCCCGGGAGCCCGGTCCGGGCTTCACCCCGCCGGCTACGCTCACCCGCCACGGTAAGGTGGAGGAGAGAGCGGCGGCGGCGGCCTGTGCGCGGGTTCGAGGCGAGGCAAGCGTAGGCGCCGGCGTGGCCGGGCTCGACCGCGGGCAGCAGGAGGCGCGGGCCGGCGGGCACCGCGGCCTCGTTGGGGTCGGCCAAGCTCCAAGCGAAATCGGCGGGCGGCCGCGAGGCGGCGGTGCAGCGCAGAGTCACGTTGCTGCCCGCAGTGACATAATGGGCGGGAGCGGCGTCTCGGTCCGAGGAGACCGTGATGACCGGGGGATCCGGGCCATCTTGGTAGAGGGAGGCGTTAGTACCACGAGTGTCGGTGTCACCTGGGACTCCTTCAGGGTCGCCAGAGACTAGACCGTCAACCCCTCTTCCCCAGGGAATAAGGAGCCTGGGCTCCCAGTCCCTGCCCCCGACCCAAGGCATACCCCCACTCACAGAAGACGCTGACGTCGGCTGCGGCTTCGGTGTGGCCGAAAGGGCTGCGAACTTGGCAAGTGTACCGCGCGTGGTCGCTACGCACAGGGCGCACGATGAGTAGCTGGTCGCCCTCTGCGCGGATCCGGGGCAGCTCAGCTCCCTCCGGGTCCGCTGCCTCCAGCACGCGTCCGTCCCGGCTCCAGCTTAGCTCCCCGCGACTGGGCCCCCATCCCATGCATCGCAGCCGGAGCTCAGTCGCCCCTTCCTCGGTCTCCGGGGCCTGGGGCTGCACGGACAGTTGGGGTAGAGGCTCTAGGAAAAGAGGAACTTGCTTAGGCCCCGGGCTACCTTTTTCCTTAGGTCCAGGACAGCAAGCCCCAGGCCCTCCACCTCCTATATCAAGCACTTCCAGGCGCTGGCGGGGCTTCCTCTTAGGTCCAGTCCTCTTCTCACAGACCCACGCGTCTTAGTCTCTTGAGTTTCTGGAGAACTCAGGAGTCTTGATCCTCTGGTCTAGCTTCCCTCAGGTGCCCTGACCTTGGATCCAGACCCTTTTCTCCTCCCACCCAGAAGTCATCTCTCCTCTGTTTCCTTCTGGGGAGAAAACAACCTCAGAACAGCAGTGACCTGCCCGAAGGTCTGGCAAAGCAGCCCTGGCAGCCTGCTTTCTGGACCTCAGGGCTCACTTACCATATACACCCACTGTGAACTCCCGAATCTGCCGGGAAACCCCGGCACGAATGACCTCAGCAGTGTAGACCCCAGCATCCTCCAGCTGGGCAGAGGCGAGTTCCAGGCCCCCTCGTGTCTGGTCAAATCGTAGGCGATCTCGGTTAGCAGGGTCCAGGCTGATCAGAGGGGCCCCTTGCCCCAGGCCCCCCGCTGCCAGCACCTTGGAACCCCGGCGCCAGACAACCAGAGGGGCAGGGGGGGCAAGGCTGGGGACTGGAACCAAGGGGAGTTGGATGGTGGTTCCCACTAATACAGCAAGAGGCCCCCCCACCTGCTGGGGGAAGCTTGGCTCTAGGGGGACCTCTGCAGGAACTTTGAATTCGGGGCTCTGTGTGGGGAATTTAAAATCCAGATCCTCAGGGGAGAGCTTTAAACCTGGGCCCTCCACAGATACATTAGCTTCAGGGACTTGGACAGAAATGTTTGAAGCTGGGTTCTTAACAGTAAAGGAAGGCTCTGAGTCTTTAGTAGGAACTTGAGAGCCCAAGATATCAGGAAGTACTCGGGAACCAGAGATCCCAGAGATGGTGGTGTCCAGGCCTGACTTTCGGTCCTCAGCAGAAACATTTGACTGGAGGGATCCAGTTATGTTGTCCAAATGCAGGGCCTCGAGAATCCATTTGGAATGGGGGACATCAGCAGTGGCTGTTGAACCTGGAGACCGATCCAGAAATTCCCATCTGGGGGGCTTGATGAAAGAAACATTCGAATCTGGGCCCTGGGAAGAGCTTTCTGAATCAGAGATGAAATTGGTTTGCTGGACTCCAGAAGGGGCTCTGAGAGTGACGACATCTACTCCAGAGGCTGCAAAGAAGAAGGGAGTGTGGGCATTGAAGGGCTGCTGAGAAGGGGAACTGGTGGGCAAGGGGCTGAGCAGGAGACTTACCCAGGAGCAGGAAGAGCAGCAGAGCCCGTGAGGTGTCCATGGTGCTGGCCGCACCCTGGAGAAGGACACTGGAGTGAGACTCGGGGCAAGCCCAACAGGACTGGTAGCTTCCTGGGCGGGGAAGGGAGCCAGACCCAGTGGGAGGCACCAGGATCCCTCACCCAAATCTGGTGGCCGAGCCACCCACACCACCCCACTGGTCCTCATTAGCTACTGCCATCTGAGGGGAGACCCAGCCTGACCCCTGTCCCCGGACCCCCAGAGGGGGCAGAATGAGAGCTAAGTCCCAGCTGAAAGTGTAGGAGCAAAGCCAGGAAGACTTCCTGAGAAAGGGTGAGGGGACCTTTCAGAGAGCCCCACCTTTGATGGCTGTGGCCTCAGCTCAGGCTTCCTCCTCCCTAGCCTCCTGGCTTAGTGTCCACTCTTTCCTGCCTGCAGCCTCAGATAAATGCACATCTGGCCCTGATCCTCCTCTGCTCCAGGCCCTCCCATGATTTCCTGTCACCCTCAGGACCAAGTTTCGAGTGGCTACTCCCACCCAGTCCTCTCTTCTGAGACCTAGAACTGCATCTTCAAGTCCCCTAGAGCCTCCACCCCCTGCGTCCCACTAAACTTAGTATCTTTCCTCTAATCAGACCCTCCTCCTGGATTCTTCACCTTGACTACAGTTCCACCATTTGTGCAGAGGCTGGGGAGTCTTCCACCCTCCTCGCTCCTCTTCACCACTATGAATCTCTGAATCCCACCCCTCCTGTCTCTTGCATCTCTGTTTCACTTCTTTGCCTCTGTTCCCACTGGCCGGTGGCCAGGCCCCAGCATAAACCTCATCCTCTGCCCCTGCCCCCTCGTTTAGCTTTTTACCTTCAGCCTCATCTCCTACAATCCATGGATCCCCACATAACCCTGAGTCTGTACCCAGAGCTGCCCCTTCCTCCTACCCCCTGCTCACAGTCCTCCCACAGCTCCTCAGGGCCCCTCAGGAGACATCCAAGGAATTTCCAGAGCCTGTTTAACCTAGATCCATGCACTCCACCCATTTTCTCCCTCTAGCACTCACTCTATGAACACCCTGCCATTCTTGGGCCCGTCTCTCCCCTTCCAGATTTGCAGACACAGTTTCCTCTGCCTGGAATGCTCTCTTGCGCTCCCCGCCCTCCTCCAACCTGGCTAAACCACAACTCGTCCTTCAGGTCTCTTATTATGAACCAAAATAATAATTACCACTTACCACGCACCAGGAACCATGCAAAAAATGTTCCCCAGACATTAATGGGCTGAACCCTTCCAAATACCCCATGAGCTGGGTGTTTACCATCCCGGGGACTATGGCTCAGAGAGGGACCTGCTAGAGGTTGCACAGCCAGAGGGAGAAGAAGCTGGGTGGTCCAGCCCAGGATGGTCAGGCTGCTCACTCCTGAAAGCTTTTCCTACCACCCCATGCTGGTCTTAGCAGGTCCCAGGTCTTTGAGCTTACCCAGGTAGCCTTGCTATGCAGATGAGAATAATACTGGTGATACTACACAGTGAGCATTTTCTGTATGTGGAGTGGCTCTGAGGGTATCACATTAACCCTTTAAATCCCATGGGGTAGGTTTTATAGCTTAAAAATGGCTGCAAATTCAGACTTCCTCCCATTAAGGAATATGGTCTCTGTCCCCTCCCCTGGCATCTGTATAGGCTCTGTGGCCTCTAGACCAAGAGAGTACAGTGGAAGTAACCCTGTGTCTCCACCTAGGCCTCAAGAGACTGGCATAGTCCATTTCTGATATCAAGGAACACTCCCACCATGCTGCGAGGAAGCTCGAGCAGCTCCTCACTATGGAGAGGAGTTGTGGCCCCCTAGTCAACAGCCAGCTCAAGCCCACAGCAACCGCCAGCTTGCAAGCACATGATGGAACCATCTTGGACATCGGTCCTCTGGACCTATTTGAGCCGTGGAAGTGAGGCACATTGTCTCTGCCAAGCTCAAGTCTCAGATTTATGAGCAAAATTAATGATTATTGGGTCAAGCCACCAAGCAACAGACAACCAGATCACAGGTAGTTACTAACTGCACCTGATGGAGGAGGAAACTCAGGCTTAGAGAGCAGGAAGTTGTCAAAGGTCCTCCTGGAAACAGAGATCAGTCCTGAACCCAGAGCCTCGGGATCCAGATCCCTGGCCCATAACCACTACACTAAGTTCTTACTGTTTCAATAAGCCAAATGAGGAAACTGAAGCTGAGAAGGGAAGTTATTCACTCAGTGCCTCACAGTTGGTAAATTTGAGAGCGAGTCTGAAATCATTAAGTCTGACTCCAGGCCCTGGCTCTTCATCCCGCACTAGGTTTTGACCGTCTCTTGCCTGTCTCCCCAACCAGAATCAGAGCTTCTGGCCTCCTTCCCTCCTGCATCCCAAATCTCAGCAAGTGCCTGGCACCCAGGAGTCCCCAGCAAACATTTTGCAGATGAAAGCACTTCTATGCACCGCCTCCCCTGATCTCACTGATATTTGTCTTTCGAGACTCAACTTAGGTGCCACCATACTGGGAAGTGTCTTTGACCCCACAGGCATGCTCAGATGTCCCATGTGGGTTCCCAGTACCCAATGCTGCCTCACACACAGGACACAGCACCCCACCTCATGGCAGCCTTTGCCTCAGTCCATTGCCCCTTCAACATGGAAGCTTCCCAAGGGCAAGGAATGGATGTGACTCACCTGAATCTCCAGCGTTGCCCAGCACAGGGCCTGGCAGGTGGGAAACTGAAGTAAATGTTTGTTGAATGAATCAAAGATGTGTGTTTGCGGAATGAGGTAACAGAGACAGATGTCAAGAGTCATAGTTTTATTGTCAAGTTTCATGGAAGTGGCTCAAATCCGCCCGATCTCCCTCAGCTTGGCCACCAGGTCTTCTGTGGTCTCCACCTTGACACCAGCCGTGCGCTGGGGTGGGTCCTCCACACTAATCACAGAGATCTTAGAGGTCAGGTCCACACCCAGGTCCCCGGCCTTGAGCACCTCGATCTTCTTCTTCTTGGCTTTCTGCATACAGGAGGCCACACTTCACAAAGGCGCCAAATCCCCTGCTCACAGTCCTGCAGCCCCCATGGCTGCCACATTTGCTGGATGATTCCCATTGGCTAAACCCTTCTAGATCTCCCCACTGGCCAGAACACACGTGACCTCTTACAGGGCCACACCTGGTGTGGACGATTCCTTTGGGCTGGGAGGTCCTGGGAAGGCCTCCTATGGCATGAGTCCTCCTTTAGTACACAGCCTTGGGAAGCCCTTCACTGGCCAGAATGAATTGGCCGACTCATCCTCTGGCAGTAAAACTCTTTAGACTTTTGGCCAAAATCACCCATTAAGTTCACCCTATTGGCTGAGATGACTCAATGAACCCATCTTATTGGCTGAGATGACCCACTGAACTCTCTCTCCTGGCTGAGATGACCAATAAATCCTCTTCATTTAGCTAGGATTACAGAATGAACTGTTCCTGTTGGCTGCCATCACAACGGGAACCTTTTTTATTGCCTGATGAAGCCTTTCTATTGGCTGAGGCAAACAATCCTCCCTGTTAGCCAAAATAGCCCCCAGGAGCTCTTGTTATTGGCACAAATGACCCTGAACCCTCTGTTAACCAGGATGACCAGTAATCCCTTCCTTTGGAGGAGATGTCCCTTAGATCCTGCCTGTCCCATCTGACCACCAGGGAGGCACAGAGCCTGTAGCCGTCACCCGCTCCCAGGCCTCCAGTGACCTGTCTGCCAGGCGCTCACCATGATGTTTGGCAACGTGGCATATCGGGGCTCATTGAGCCGCAGGTCGGCGGTCACCACAGCGGGCAGCTTCAGGCGCACGGTCTCCAGGCCCCCATCAATCTCCCGCTCCACTTTCAACTTGTCCCCTTCCAGCGTCAACTGGGAGGCGAAGGTGCCCTGGGGAGGGACAGCATGAGGGGAGCAGGCAGGTTAATTCAGGGCCAGCCCAGGGCAGTCCTCCGCAGGCCACTCCCCTGAGCGCACGCACAGAGCCCCGGATGAATGAGGACAGAAGAGGGAGAATCCTGCAAGGTGACTTACGACATCAAGTTCAGCAATGGGGGGGAAGCCACAGAAAGGCCCTCAAAAATCCAGGGTAGGGTGTCTTTACTTTCACTGGAAGCCAAGGTGTAGGTCCTAACACCCTGAACCCGCCAGTGGGTCTCCCTTTGTTAACAATAATGAGCACACATTGAAAACTGGGTGCCATTGGAAGTAATTTAAATGAATTCAGCCATCAGATCCTTATAGGGACTTTAGAGGGAAATGTTATTATTCCCATGTTACAGATAAGGAAAACTGAGCCAGAGAGGCTCAAAGATACTCCTCTTGCCACCTGTAGCTGGCAAATCCAAAACTGTCACCTATGCACCATTCTGTCCCCAGGAGTTGCCTTCAAGGCCCCTTGCTGGGCTGACAACACCTTGTATGCTCACCTCTATCCTCAAAACCTCCCCTGGGGCCCCATCTTCTTGGGTCTGTGCCCATTCTCCAGCCAAGGTCCCTCCGCTCCTCAGCCTTTATTCAGCATTTCCTGACCCCCACACTCTGTCTAACCAGCCTGTTCTCTCCCCTTACGGAGTCTTTCAGGTCTTGGTTGGAATGTCCCATTATCCTCATGGGTCTCTTTCGAGTGCCCATGAGCCCAGCTCTGGGGGTCCACCGTGAGCACAACCAGCCAGGCCCGGCTCGGCTTCAGTGGGCACCTGTCCTGGCCGCCCGTACCCATGTGAACGTGCAGTCACCACTGGCCGAGAGCGGCTTGTGAGGGCGTGGAACACAGCTAGTATGATTGAGGGAGGGTGGGTTTTTTTCCTCTTATCTAGTTATTTTAAATTTAAAACCCAAGAGGTGAGATACATTATGAGGATCGTGGTGATGACTTCATGGATGTGTACATGTTAAGAGTTTGCCAAACTGTACACTTTAAATATTAAATACTTTAATATTTTAATAAATATTAAAGGTTTTTGTAGGCCAATTGTATCTCAACCAAGCTGTTAAAAAAAAAAAAAGATACTCAAGGTAGTTGTTAGAAAATTATGAAGTCTGTTTGGGAAACCTTGGGTATATGGATCTACTTTTTCAACTGTGAATTTTAGGAATCTAAATTAAGTATTTCTAATTGAAATATTATATCCTCTGAATTGAGACATGCTGTTGATATGAAACACAAACTGGATTTCAAAGATTTCATACAAAAAGATGAAAGAAGGCGGGGACTGGAGGCTGGGTGGAAAAGGTGAAGGGATTGAGAAACACAGATTGGTGGTCACAAAATATGCACAGGGATGTAAAGTGCAGCACAGGAAATATACTCAGTAATATGGTAATAACTAGGTACAGTATCAGATGGGTACTTGAAATATCTGGGGAAACACTTTGTAAATTATGTGATTACCTAACCACTCTGCTGCACACCTGAAACTAATACAGAATAATATTGAATATAAACTGTGACTAAAAATAAAATAAATATA